TTCTGCTTATTATTTGACAGCATTGTAGTAGCACTGTTGCTTATGTATCCTTCATTTTCAAAGTTATAAAGATTCTGAAGTAGTGCAGAGCTTTGAATTTGTTTTCTATTATCTTTATTTTTCTTAATTGTGAAATGTCCAAATTGCTGCCTTATTAAAGACTTTGTGTTCAAAGTTGTAAATTAAAAGGCACTACATAAAGCATATATAATACGCGCAGCAGTTCCAGCACTTTCTATTTATTTCGGTTAAATGAAGCTACCCCAATTCCACTTAGATGACCCCTTTAGATACCATAAAATAAATGAGCAAGTTGGTAACAAGACTGGAGATGATTCCATCATGCTTTTAAAGATAAACAGATAAACACAAACAAATGTAGAGAAATCAAAAGAGATAAAATACAGACGAATCATAAATCACAAACATAAACAATCATTAGACAAATATTGAACAGGGAAAGAAAAAGTGAGTAAAATATCATTGCATCAGTGGGAAAGAAATACCAATATACTGAAATTATAAACTGCAACTGCAATCACTTACACAATTACTCCACATCCTTAACCAAGAAGCTACTTTTCTGTCGAGTCAGCTGAATATTTGGAAATGGATACCATCACAGATGAACCTCTGATGAGGGTAGCTATTATTATTATTTAGCATTCCGTCAATTTTATCTGCCTGAACTATGGGACACCAGTTGCAGTACCTTTCCTGTAATCCAGGTAATTTAAAATAGGTGAAAGAGCGAAGTCGATACATTTCTCAGGTTTTGCTTGCTCACTCCACTGACACTTGCAGCCTTCATCCACTAAACCATTAGCTGTGCTGCTTTTAAGTACTGTTAAGCATGCCTTACATGCAATCTCAATTTTCAATCAAGGGGTCTTAGGACCAAAATGTAAAAAGTCCATATAAAACAACCAACTATTTGTTATTTTAATTTTTTGAAACTTTTATTTTGTAAAGATAGTTTTGTGAAAGAATAGCCTGTTAATCGGTCTTTTATTAGGTACATCTTTAAAAATGTACATACTTCATGTTATAACTTTTTCAACAGAAGGAAAAGAAAGCATACAATATTTTGAATATTATTTCTATGCTGCTAATAAAATGATACTGTACTCAATCATTGCTTGCATTGTTTTAATTACTGAACCAATTTAGAATAAAATCAGCACATGCATGATTCAGACTTTTTCTAGAATACAAATCATCAAAAAGAATCAAAAAATCAAGCTGACTGTTTTGTATATATTGATATCACTGAATTTAATAAGAAGTGAAAGGTTTGGCAATAGAAGTATATGACGATCCAAACAATTGTAAACTCCGTCATCTGTGAATTCAATAAGTCTGGTCACTTCTGAAGTAGCATTTAGCCGTGAAAGCTGCTAAGTTCTTTAAACACAACTAAAACATCCCTATTCTTCTGGGTGTGACATCCATCAGCATTAATCAAACTGGCATACTAGTAATTCTGTCCTATGCTGACTGGATGACTCAAAGTCTTCCAGATATCACTAAACAAGCAGTAAATGCTGTGGTGTCTAGGATTTGCTCAATGTACCTTTTACTGACACATTTGTGTGCTTGATACTGTTTTGGAAATGACCATGTAACTTGGGCATCAGCTTGTAATCAGTGTGAATGCAAAGATGTGAAACTACTCCAGAAGGCTCTCTTACACAGGCTTGAAGTTGCACTGTATGCAGTATAATTCCATACAGTTGCAAAGATATATTTTAAAAGTTTTCCAGGTGAGTGCTCACACTTCAAAATGTTTAATGTTGAACGAAAGCAAACAATCTATGTCAATCAAAAAGCAGATTTTTATTCTTGGGACCAGGAATGCATGCACGAAATACTTTGCTGCTGACTTAGTAAGACCAGTTGTGATATGCAGTCCACTTAAAAACTGCAATCCACAGATCACAGTCTGAGTCAAATATTTGCAGTATATCCTATTTTCTAATCAATCAATCTGCTTAGCAATGTTATTACATAACTCTGGAACAGGTGGGACTTGAATCTGCACCTCCTGGTTCAAAGGTAGGAACACTAGCACTGCACCACAAAAGCATCAGCACTCAAAGACCAACTTGTACAATGCAGTCACTTTTTTCTCACACTCAGTTAAAGGTTAATTAAATGCCTTTCTTCAGTTGCAAGACATGAACAAAACACGGTATTGACACATTTTTAAGGTTTGTACACTGTACACTCACTATGTTCTGAGACTAGATGCTTCAATTTCCCAACTGCAAGTTAGTTGTGGGTTTTAAAGTTGAAAGATACATTTAATGTAATTTAATTAACTGCTAAATCTGAAGGTATGAAGGGTAAATTTAGATCCCACTTGATAAAGTCATAAGCAGGAAGATGGCAAAAACAGTCAAATGGAACCCCACCTCTATGCAGTCAGACTTAGCTTTCTACCATGTGCTTTTCAATGAATCTAATGTCATAAAGTTAGTTAAAGAGCACTTTTACACCCAGGTCACATAAGCACTATGTCACAATAGATATGAAAATGTGTTTTCCACCTATTCCTATGAACAAGCACTGTTATAGATGGTGAAACATGAATAAGAAATAAATTAATTAAAAATCCGCTTAGACTTCAATTAACTATAATTTAACTTTGGTTCAACTGAAAAGATGCGCAAAATTAATAAAGACCCAAATGATGAAGATATTATCAACAAACCCAATGGCTCATAGATGTGCTTTCCACAGTGAGATAACAGAATTGCGAATTGTTGTTTCATTTGACTTGCATCCAAAGAAATTCATATCAAACAACAGAGATGCTCAGCTGCCTAAACATCTCATTTGTCTAATTACCTTCAACTTCCTCCACACTTGGTTAAGACAGATTTGAATGTTATTATTTATCGCATTGTAATTGCATTTATATTAATAAATGACAATGTTCATTGTTTATTTGCAGAACTAATTTGAAATACGTATTTTTTTAATTTCTGTTATAAATGGTAATAGAAACTTATGTGGAATACTTGAGGCAGACTGGAGTTCTTATGCTTCAGCATAAATATCATTAGTTGACTTTAGCATCTTCTTCGATTCTACCTCTCGAGTAAATATATGGGGAAATATAGATAGCTTTTTATTACACTGACAATCCCTCAAAAATACATATATACCAAGATAACCTGAACAGAACTATGATTCACAGATAATATACTTGTATGAGGAGTTGCTTAATATTGCACAATAGGACACAAAATACAAATATATACCAATAGCCTGAAGTTATAATTTATGTGATTTTTTTTCTTGACTTGAAGCTATTTTCATTTTTTTGATACTTAATTTCTCTGCCACAGAAGCACAGCACGACATATTTATTTAACTTCAAGGCAATAAAGTACTGAACATATTTGATCTGCAGTAGACAGATAGCAAGAAAAACTATCACTTACACCAAATACAGTGTGCAAACCTTGTTGTTTTGTCCGAACTTAACTCCTATTGTACATTCTTGCACTGAATTAATGGATAGCAAATGAAATTTTCTGATGCAGCTAAGTTTTGATGTTTACACAGAAGAAACAAACCGTGCCTTTTATTTAATTAGTTCCAAATGCAGAGTATGTATCAATTGGATTCAATGGAAGATTATATGCAACCACTACGTCATTTCATTCACAACATCTCCTTAGATTAGGCACAATAATCAGAAGATTGTTGAGCCTGTTTTATTATTTTGGGGGGAGAATACCTGTCATTCAACACACATTGGTAAAAAGGGATCAAGTTATAATCACATACCAAATTTTAGTTTACTGGAAGGTAATTAGAATCTTACATGTATTGCCTCAGGACACTCTAGGAATTCTACTTTAAATTGTTTTCATAATAGTGTTCAGAAGTTTAACACTGTCAGAATAGTCCCGAATTGTAATTTTACATATTTACCTGATTCAAAAGGTTTCCAGAAAGTTGCAAACAAATGTAATACTAACCCATTAGTATACTTTGAATCTGCAGTATTATTACTACATCAAAAGTAAAACAGTGAAAACTATATTTTTAAACATTTAAAATAACATTTACCGAGGTTTTAGAAAATTACCTTACGATAAATGGAAATTCTCAAACACTAACATGTGCTCCTGATTTCATTCATCGCTAACAGCTTTATTATTTTTAATCATTTAAATAAATAAGTCTTCTATATTTTATTAGGAATAAATGCACAAGTGTAACATGTGATTGCCATTGTACATGGACTACACTTCTTGGACAGTATTTGGGCTGCTACAGTGCAGCTACCAAAGCTGTTTTAGTGATTCATATCAGGATAAAGACATGGAATCATGCATGTAAAGAAAAGCTCTGGAGATTTATTTTCGACAGTGACATTTACAACATCTGAATTTCGCCATTCATAATTGACACATGGCAAAATGTTGGTGTTGTAAAGACTGACAACAAAGAAAACCAACAGATTTTATTTTATATGCTTATCTCACACAATACAAATACTAACTGAACATGAATGTACTTCAATGTAGTTGTCACTATGAAATAGATCTGTGAGCAACTATGTTGCACAGTAATTTATTTTGATTCATAGGGATAGAGGAGGAGGAGAAAGAGGAGGATTAGTGCAGTGACATCACACAAGCTCAATTACCCAAAATGCACAATCCTAACTGGCTGATTATGTATAGTTGTATTGGCTTTGCAATGTAAATGAATTTTAAAAGAACTACACAGTTAAGTTACATTTATTCCCATTCAGGATTTAAATAATTCAAAACTACTTCATCCAAGGTTCTACATGTTTGTCAATCTATTTTTCAACATTCAACATTACAATTTTACAGAAAATCAATTCTGAATGTGCATTCAACATTACAAAGTGTATATGCATGTTAAAAATGCATGATATTATTCTGCATTCAAACCACTGATTTCGATCTCCTAAGCTACATTTAGACATTGCTTTGGTAATTATTGCTTCTTACCTGCTTGTTGTACTTGTTATTTATCTGACAGCTGTATTCAGAGCAATGGTCTGATTCAATTGAGATGTTGTCACCTGTCCCTACGAAGGTGTTAGCAGGTGGTAGTTCTTGCACTGCCTGATGTTTCTTTCCTGCAGTGGGTGACTGGGGATGAAGCTGAACTGTTGGCAATGGGGAGCTAGATTTGTAATGCCTGCCGAGGTCAGGGCTCCCAGGTCCGCCATTCATGGACCGATAGCGACCCATGCCAGGGCTCTCTGTAAGTTTCTCATTCACACTGTCATATCTCTGTCCATTTGGTTTTGATGCTTCCACAGTCACAATGCTGCTGTACAGAGGTTGTTTGGACTTTTTGTTCTTTTTGTCCTTCTTGGGTTTCTTAGACTTGTCATGTTGCTGGGGGGTGAAAAAGTCTTCTGGATCCTTTTTTCCTGCCTCATATCCATTCTTGGACTTTTTGGGTCTACAGTACCTCGCCAACACCACAACCAAGATGATTAAAATCACTGTCATGACACCGGCAACAACCCCAATAACAATGCTCAGTCGTTGCTTGCTCATCTCATAATTTGGATCACCTGCAATGTCTTGCTTCAATGAAGTGCGAAGACTTCTAGCTATTTGTGCCTCCACTATTGTAGCGTTTGAAACACTCTCATTCACAAATACATGGACCATTGCAGTGGTGTACTGCGAAGGCTGTCCACTATCATTAACCTGCACTATCAACCGGTGTAGTCCGTAGTGCTTCTGGGTGAGCTTTCCCACCAAAGAGATTACACCGCTGGCTGAATCAATCTCAAAAAGTTTGAAGGGATTTCCCCCCACGATGCTGTAGTTGAGGTCAGCGTTGATGCCAGTGTCTCGATCTGTCGCTAGGACTGTAGCCACCACAGTCCGCAGGTTGCTGGAAGGGGGTAGCAGAGTGTAGGAGGCGTTTTTCGGGAAGGTGATGGTCGGCGCGTTGTCGTTTTCATCCATGACATACAGCGACACCATGGCCGTGGACGACCTCGGGGGGTCCCCGCCGTCCACGGCTTTCACTTTGAAAGAGTAGGTGGTCTGCTGCTCCCTGTTGAAGGACACGGTGGAGTAAATGGTGCCGGTGTCGTTGTCGATGGAGAAGATGCCGCCGTCCTCCTCGACCAGGAGGCTGAGCTCGGCGTTGCTGCCCTGGTCGGCGTCCATGACGGTCACCATGCCGACCGGGCTGTGCGGAGGCAGGTTCTCCTTCACGTAGAAGGTGAAGACGTCCTGCATGAAGCGGGGCTCGTTGTCGTTGGTGTCGGTCACCTGCAGCAGCACGGTGGCACTGCCCTGCAGGCTGGGGCTGCCCTTATCCCGGGCCACCACCTTGAACTCGTAACGCTCGGTCTGCTCCCGGTCCAGCACCGCGTTCGCCACGATGTCCCCCTTCAGCGGGTCGATGGAGAACAGGCCCGCCGCGGCCCCACCTCCTCCTCCTCCTCCACCTCCTCCACCACCGCCGCCGCCGCCGCCACCTCCTCCTCCCGACGACGACGGCTCCAGCGAGTAGGCCACCTCGGCGTTCTTGCCGTCGTCGGCGTCCGAAGCCCGCACCGAGGCCACGGGCTCGCCGGGCCGGTTGTTCTCCGCCACCGAGACCCGCACCAGCGGCTGCGGGAAGACGGGCGGGTTGTCGTTGACGTCGGTGACGCGGACGAGCAGCGAGTTGTTGCCGGACAGGCTGGGGCTGCCCGAGTCCACGGCCACGATGGCCACCGTGTACTGGCGGGCCGCCTCGTAGTCGAGCGGCGCCGAGGTGTGCAGGAAATACTTGCGGGCCCGCTGCTCTCCGTCGGCCGCCTCGCCGTCCCCTCCGCCGGCCGGCCTCAGCTGGAAGGGCACGTCGCCCACCACGGTGCAGGTCACCGCCCCGTTCTCGCCCTGATCCCGGTCGGAGACCTGCACCAGCGCCACCGGGGTGTCGACCAGCACGTCCTCGGCCACCTGAGCCACGCCGTCCCGCAGCACGATGCGGCCGATCTTGCGGATGTCGACGCGGGGCGCGTTGTCGTTCTGGTCGCGGACCCGGAGCGAGACGGTGGCGCGGTCGGTGCGGGCCGGTTGCCCTCGGTCCTTGGCGGTGACCGTGAAGCGGAGCTGGCTCAGCTCCTCGCGGTCGGGCCGGTGCAGCACGCTCAGGCGGCCGGTCGACTCGTCGAGCCTCAGCAGGCGGCGCACCGCCTCGGTGGCGGCCCCGAAGCCGTACTCGATCTGACCGTTGACGCCGGCGTCCAGGTCGGAGGCGCGCAGCTGCAGCACCGGGGTCCCCGGCGGGCTGTTCTCCGCCAGCTCGGCCTCGTACAGGCCTCGCTCGAAGCGGGGGCTGTTGTCGTTCACGTCCGAGATGAGGACCCGCAGCAGGGCGGACGAGGAGCGCGGGGGCTCGCCGCCGTCCCTCACCCTCAGGCTCAGCTCGTACGAGTCCCGCCGCTCCCGGTCCAGGGCGCCCTTGACGATCAGCTGCGGCTGCTTGTCGCCGTCCGGGGTGTCGGCCACTTGTAACTCGAAGACGCTGCTGCTGCTGCCGCCGCCGCGGGCCTGGGCCTCGGGGCTGGGGTTTCTCCGGGTTCCTTCGCCGGAGCTCTCCTCGGGCACCAGCAGCTCGTACCTCTCGATGCCGTTGGTGCCGAAGTCGCGGTCGGTGGCGGTCGGCAGCAGGTAGAGGGTGCCGACCGGCCGGTTCTCCTCCACCGTCAGGGTGAGCACCGGCGACGGGAAGCTCGGCGTGTTGTCGTTGATGTCCTCCACCACCACGCGGCCGTCGTACAGGTCGACCCAGCTCTGAGCCGGCCCGATCACCGACACCTCGAAGTCGATGAAGCACTCGTTCTCGTCGAAGATCATCTGGCACTGCGGCAGCTTCTCGCGGTCGGTGCGGCGCCCGGTCGTGCTCAGCTCCCCGGTGATGTTGTCGATCTTGAAGTACTCGGAGCCCGACTCCAGGCTGAAAGTCACCTCGCCCGAGCCCGCCACGATGCCCAGGTCGGCGGCCACGTTACCGATCCGCACATCGGCCGGTCCTTCCTCGGTGATCCGGTACCGGAGAGCCTGCTTGGCGCTCGCCAGCACCGCGGCGGTCCGCAAGAAAAGCAGCAGCGGGAACCAGAAAGTCATGCCTCTCTCTTCCTTTCTTCTCACCCGCGCACCCCCTTCTTATTCCTCTCTTTCTCTTACCCACCCCTGTCCCCCCTCGGCCAAAGGGGTGGAATCTCTTCCGACTGGAGGGGTGACAACTGTCCGTCTCCAAACACTCAATAAAGTAACGGGCTAGCCTTGCAGACTCGCACACATTGCTTCAGTTCCGTGACTCCCTTTTCCTCCCGCCCCCCGCCACCACTGGAACATCCTTCCGAAACGGGCTCAACTCTTGCTTTCGGTGGAGCGATCGCCGCCTTCGCAGCCACAACCCAAACGAAGGTGAAGATGAAGAAGAAACAGCATTGAGTCAAATTGATCACCTGAATCCGCTAGTGCTTTCGGACGTGCTTCTGGAGTCACGTTGTTCCAAGTTTGCCCTGCATCCGCAGTTAGTGTTTCTTTACCTGCATGCTGCTGCTGGTTGGACTCTGTGTGGTGTATGTATGTGTGTATGTGCGTGCTGCAACCGGACTCCCCCAACCTTGCTATTGCAGTCTTTCCCTTTCTCTTCACACTCTTCCCTAGCTTTTTACCCCCCTCTAAATCTCCCTCTTTCTTTCTCCGATCGTCCGAATTGACTCCAGGCGCAGCTCTTCCTCTGCAGAGCAGCGGAAGACAAAAGGTCTGGAAGCCGTCAGAAAGTTGAAAAGGTGGGGGCCTGGGGTGGGGGGAAGGCTCGTTAAAATAATTGCGAACGCGATCCGCTTCCTCGCCGTTCGACGAGCAGAGTCCCGCAGAATAAAGGTTGCCGTTAATGACTCGTGTTGAACCCGGAGATCTGTACAAAAGGGCTGAGCTGCCAAACTGCGACTAAATGCAGATACTCCTTTGGATTGAACGTGGAGAGGGAAATCCTAGCTGATACAACGGGAATCCGAATGAGAGCAAACTGATTTCACGATGCGGACCTTTAAAACAAACGACGTCTGCAAGTGCATTGCTTCTGGATCGGGTCCGAGCAGTTGAATAAAAAAAATCCCCAATTGAAGACTGAATAGGCTGCCGTACTTTTGACAACGGCAAGTTTTCTTATTCCAGTCCCCTAAGTGTGTTTCAGTTCCCTGACGCAGTCCTTTATGTGGTGCTGAATCCTTCTCTGAAGCGAAAAAAAAGTCCTTCCTTGTTATTCGATTAGTCGTGGTCTGCTGAGTAGTTCATTGCTATTCCTGCAGTTGAAGTTGGGTTTGTCTTTCTCTCCCCGTACAATTCAGCCTTCTGTATTCCGAAAGTAGCTGCAGGTTATAGCGCAAGCCTGACTCCAAACGCTGATGTTTCTCGGAGGATAGGAATCTATAAAGGAGTGAATGTAATAATGTTCTCTCCCTCGGGCTGGAGATCTGCAAATTCCGCTCCTTTCCCCTCTCCCCTTTATATCTGCGCGTTGTTAAGCTGGGAATTCAGGTTAACAGCATTGTTCCGATTTCTCTCTCCCACCCTCTTTTGTATGCCATCCCGCTCAGTGTGGGTGAATGTGAGAGTTTTCTGACTCATTTGAGGCAGCGTCACCTACACGAGTGAAAAGGAACTGAAGCGCGATCAGGAAATGCAGAGATTCCTCTTTCTACATCATCCATCTCTTCCCTCATTTGCTTTCTTTTACGTTCGTCGCTCTTTTTTTTCTTCCCCGTGCCATTGCACTTATTTCACTACAACGTCATTTTTCCTCTTAAACATGTTCCTGATATCTCATCGTCTTTTCGACATTATCTTCCTATTTTCGCTTAACTGTGCGCATTTGGCTACGTGCCTTGATACCTTCTGTTTATAAACCTTTGCGGAAGTATTTTATTTGAAAAATGTGTGACTATTTGCATGATCGATCTTTTAAACAATTCCATCTCGTCCCGTAGCTTTGAGGGAAGGTACGGTTCAAAATCGGTCTTTTATTCAGACGCAGCGGGGGCAGAAAAAGCTCGCGTGTGTATGAAACCAAGGTTGACTGCGAGTTTGACATCGTAAAAAGCAAAATAATTTCTTTACAAGCGCGATAAAGGGCGTGCTGTCCTTTGCGTTTCCCCGACTTGTTCTCATTTACGAAAAATTGGAATTTTAATCTATATTTGACAAAATGCGTTTTTAAAAAAAACCGTTTCACTTCTGTCCTAACCAACTGGACTGGAGCTCCCTATATATTTATATTTGCGAAGTGCTGTATTTGCAATTTGCAACGGTGAATGCTGCATCGCCGCGGTGACTTCTTTAAGAGAGAGGGGGAGTGGGAGAGCAGGAGGCGCTCGCAGGCGCGCTGTGAGGACATGGGATTTTGCTGGATGAAACTTGCCTGCTGTCTTCCCCCGCTTTTGCTGAACTGAGCTGGAGCAACCGCACGGACCGCAGCCAGTCTGCGGCAGCAATGAGCAGCGCCTGCGCAGGTAGGCGTGGGACAGCACTGGTGACAACCAGAAAGCGATGACAGAGGCAGGGGGAGAGAGAGAAAAAAAAACACACTGCCGAGAAGAAGAAGAACTGCAGAGACAGAATATGGGGAAATAGGGAGAAAGAGAAAGCAATCGATCTGGTGACCAGCAGTTTAGAAATCAACATCTCTTTTACGCCTTTAATGATAATCGTATTTTAGGATGGATTGCCTCAGCCTAGCCGGGAAAGGGGGTCGGGGCTGTAGGGGAGCAGTTTAAAACGGGTTGATAATTATGTGAGGCAGTCTGTCAACGTTGTTCGTGATGCTGCTAATCGGTTCAGACTCGAAAATCAGTGTCCTCGTTTGCATTTCAAAGAAACTTTTAGTGTAATTTGCATTCTTATGCATGAAAAGTTCCAGGCAGGATGTGCAAGCGGTACCATGTTTGGATCGGACTTGTAATTAAACGAGGAATACACAGGCTTTTTTTGAGTGGTTCGCGTCTAACACAAAACGAGTACTAATATATCGGATTTTCAGCGTCTGCGGTCTTTGATTAACAGGGAGCAACAGCATTCTATATATAATCGAGTTTAAGCTGAAGGGTCACATTATGCAGTTAAATCAATATAGGTTATATACAGCCCTGATGTGAAAAAAATCCTGTTAGATCCTGTTATATGTAAATTGTGACCGGGTTCCCATGCAGTTTGTTACAGCGAGCAGTTTCTCCGGTGTTGCGTCCTTACACACAAAGCTGATGTTACTGGCAAAATGAATTCATTAGTATCAGTGTGCAATATTTTCTAAGTGCACGAGTAGACACTCGTCAGAGACATTAATACATTTGCGGGGTGCTTTCTTGTTATGTCTCAGATTTGATCCCTTGCTTAAACACTTGCACCGATTTTAAAATCGATGTCAGTAGTTAACTGTAGTTTTTGTTTCCTATTGCGCTCTATAGAGTGCAAGTGTTGGGTTCTAGCTATAACGTCAATATTCCGTATATCTATATATTTTTTATCCAATTTATGTGTACAGAATATTAATTTACATCTTTTAAATTAAAATAGCTTAAGTAATTTCTATATAAAATTATATATAAAAAATTAAAGATGTTTTAAGGTTTCAGATGTCTGATGGTTTATTAAGCAAAACATTGTCATATCACATTGAACAGTGCAGAGCCAGAAAGAAAGAAAACTGATGTATTAGAAATTCTTGTATATTACTTAGTATTCTCAGAAAGTCTCCAAAATTGATTTACAACTTAGGTTGAATTAGCTGGTTCCAGTAGTTGGGTCACCTCAAGTTAGTTTCCATACTACTGGGATAACAAGTGGTTGAACAATTCCATATTCGCACTCATGTCCAGATTCATTATCACAAACTTAACTGGTATTTAAGAATGTGTGAAACCCGGCCAGTACAATGACACACTATGATATTGTTGAAAATCACCAGCACTAATTGTCTGGACAAACACATGACCGTGACCACTTGGATGATTTCTCGTTTCCAAATTGTGTGGAACCAGATCCAGAAAGAGTTGATAACATTGGGAGAGAAATTAACAGAAAATATTGAGATGATAATAATTGTTTCCAAAAAAAGATATTATTTTGGCAAAGGAGCTAAGGGAGAATACACAATGAAATTGTTTTGTTCTCTCTAAACCAGGTAAGATTTACATACATCTAACAGAACTTGCTTTCTTCATTGCAGTTCAGCACAAATAGAAACTTGACAAATGACATTTCAGCCTACCCGTAATTATAAGTATCTTATCTGCAATTGCAAGCAGGGTGGAGTTGACCTTTAAGAAGACTATTTATAGGAAAGGAATGTTTTAGATTAGCAGTGTGTTGTGTCTTGGTTCTGTTTCTTTTCTGATCTGTTTTATTTGTTTGCCTTCATGAGTAATGCAAGAGTAAACAGAGAATAGGGATTATCAGTTGTTAAATTACTGAAGATTCAGAAAAGCAACAATAAGAAATAGTACTTATATAACAAAAAGAATCAGTGCTGCAGTTTAGAGTAACATTTCAAATAAGTTGTTGCATCAAGTTCCAAGTACCATACATCTCCCTGTTTAATAGACAAATCTTCGTATAACAAAGGATATCATGAGTTTCTGAAACAAAAAACACAATTGTTTCATATCTACTGAGATTCTCCAGCAGTTTCTGTTTTTTTTTGTTTCAGATCTCCAGCATCTGCAGATCTTTGTTTTATAACCTGGTTTTCTACTTAGCTAGTTTTCATTTGCCCACATTGTAGAGTAATTTATTGCTTATTTAGGTTGTCAGTATTATAAAGTAAAGCTTATTTGCGGGGTGCTTTCATTTATGTCTCAGATTTGATTTTCGTTTCCTACTGCGGTCTATAGAATGCAAGTGCAATTTTTAAATTATAATGGGGATAATGCCAAAAGACTTTTCATATTAAGCACATTCCTGATTTTTGCTCCCAGCTGTAGCAACAGTTCAAATTTAATGCAGGTTAGCTTCAGGGCACTATCATTTCAGCACATTGCAACGCACTCGTCTGAATTTTCTAGTTTCCACACTGACTAGTCTTTTCTTCTCTTTAACTGAACTGGATGAGCTCCCTTCCTGTCTCACCCCCTTCCACATATTGCCTTCAAGGCAACTAAGGTGAGAAGGAGATGGTCATCTACCACTTCTGGAGTGTCCCATTGCAAAGAAGAGCTGGAAAGCAATGCAGTGGCATTTTGTTGAAGCTTATCACCAACAGTTCCATGACCCAGGACTCTTCTTCATGGCTGTTCCTAAGAAAAACACACCAAGACAAACACATCACCTGCACACAAGGGCCATAAACTCTGGGGGGAAAAAAATTCTTTGGTTTGCCTGGAACATTTGGATTGTCCCGTGCAAAGAGTTGGCTATGACAAAGTGCAGTCTGGCACATTCTAAGAACTATGAGTACCTGCACAATTGTAAAATAAAACTTGGCACAGCCACTCAACAGCACAATGGAGAGATGCCACTCTTTGAGGAAGTTCATCCATAGTACACCAAGGGTTTGGAAATAGGGTAAAACCCCTCAGGATGTATGTTCAACGCAATGAAGTTCATAAATATTAATGGTAATTGTAAATGTGGGGGAAAATGCACAGCATTTTAAGAAATTAATTTGATTTTTACATAATGTCAATTTTGATAATGTAATGTACTTTTACAAATGCTAGAAATAAAATATATTTTTGAAAAAGTTAAATTTCACATTTCACAATTAGAACTACATGCTGATAACACATTAAGTCATGCTGCACCCACTGCAAAGGCTCCATAAGAAAACAACACTGTTGAAAATCCTTCTATCATACTCTACGGAAAATAGTAAAATCCCTTGAATTGTGTCTTTGTCTTGGAATGTATATTACAAAAATCATGTGTAACTACATTTTAACTGATGCACATTAGAATGCATGAGCTGTAACATGAACTGTATTTCACTTTCGTTAATGTCACACTAAAACTTGTTGAGTGTAATTTTATATTTTTTAAACAATTAAAGTATATGTTTGGAAATAACCTATTGAATGTATGTTAATTGGAGAAAAAAATATAATGTCTTGAATTGTTACCAATCTTAAATTCAGAGCTGAGGTATGGGTGTCAATCAGGTTGAACCTAGTCTTTTTTTTTGATTGACATTGACCTTCCTGTCCTGGTAACAAACATGTGGAAAGCTTTTTTTTCTCACAAATTAAAAATTAGGGTAATGAACTTGAAGTCAGATGGGTTATATAAAGTGGTTGAGCATCCTTCTACACTCTGGTTAACTCTGGAGTTAGACTGGGTTTCAACTTAATTTTGTACTGTAAATTTAATGTTAGTGGACGATGATTTCTACTCTCCATCAATACTAAACCTGAAAGCTTGTAGTGAGCTTCCACGCTTCTAACCTGATGTATATCCTACAGGACTTCCTAAACAAAGAGTTTGAAAAATTGGAGGTAGAAGGGTAAACAGAGCATCAAGCTACAGAGAAAGCAAGAACACTGAAATAAACAGAAACATAAATTGCTGGATAAACTCAGCAAGTCTGACAACATCAATGAACAAAAAAGAGTTAATGTTTCAAATCCAGTGACCCTTCTTCAGAACTGAAATAACACTTCTTTCAATTCCTTGGGAAAGCCTGAAATCTCGGGTTAACAGTCAATTGAGGGTACAAAAATGTGAAATGCTTTTTGTGCATTTGTCACAAAAAGCATGCCAACTGAACTCAATGTTTGTGGATTTCATATGATGTCAGAAACACCTGCTACCTGGTTGCACAAATGCAAATTCTGCTATAATCTGGATCCCTTCATTAATCATATTGAGACAATTAAAAGACATGGGAATAATTCATTCTTTTCTTTCAAGATTTTAAGAAAATTAAATTGTTAAACAAAAAT